TTTAACAATTTTTTGGCCGAGATAGCCTGTATTTAACGCATTGCTGATGGCATTCCACAGTTTATTTTGCTGTCATTTAAATTTTAGTGAGATTTCTCTCATTTTCCTGTAAGCATAGTTCCTATTTTTCCAGAATTAAATGTATTATGACAGTGTGCACCTACAGCTTAACAAGCTGTTGTAACACCCAGGTGCTGGGGCCAAGGTAATGGAGAGATCAGCTTAGACCCTAGAAATTATTGACGAAAACCATACTTCAGGTCTATTATGTTCTTCTAGAATGTGTCTAAATGCTGAGCCTGAAAATTGTCTCTTGCTTGTATAAGCTGGTAACAGCACTTGCTTTGTCAGGAGGTAATTGTAAACAATTTCCTCAAGTGTATTTTTTCACTTGAGTAAGTAGCAGTAAGTAGCCTAGCGATGGACGGCTGAACTTTTATTTTGTTCCCTTCCAAGGCAATTTGCAGAGGAGTCAGAGTAGTCAGACAGAGCTGAGGATAATTCTGTCTAAACATGTTCATCATTTTAGTAGTTGTGTTTTTCTAAATTGTCACAGTTCTTGACTTTGCCATCAGATAGAAAGGATGGCTGCTCTAACAGATGTTTAGTGTCAAGTGTGTGATTTCATTTGAGACATAAAGCTTCCATCACAGTAAATCTGTGTGGATGTGAGATATATTGATTTCCGATAATGTCTTCAAAGAGTTTTCAAAAGCCTTTTGGTATTTATAAAGAACTTCTGGGCACTTCTGGTTGTTTCTATGGTATCTCCCAACTCCTGCAGATCCAAACAGCAAGCTTTCTGCAAGCACTTGTTTGCTGTTTGTCAACAGCCATGGCCCCTTTTCTTTGCAACTTGTATTTTCCAAGATAAGAATCTTCAACAGCAACCACCGCAATAAATATTTTCAGTAACACTTCAGTTTGTTTACATATAATATGTGAATGCAGAAGACTGTTTTCAGCTAGCAGCCACCACAGATTTCTGAGGGTGGGGAAGCAGGGCAAGGAAGTTCATTACAAGCCAATGCGTTGGTTGTAACATATCTATAGCAACTTCAGCTAGGAAGCAGCTTGCTGGTAAAGTATTTTTACCAAGTGCTCTTGACTGGAGTCCCATCTAAAGACAGACTTTTAGTATTTCTCATTCTTGACAACTCTCCTGCCATCACTGCTTTCCTACAAAGGGGGACAATGGTAGCTTTGCAAACAGAAAATTACTATAATGGGGCTTATACTGTGTATTTTAAATACAAAGTGGCAATAAATACTTGTACTTCTTTTAGAACTCTGCTGAAAACATTATTACACCAGGAAAATTTTGTAAGTGCAAAAACTTCCTCCACAGTAACTGAAGAAGATTCTTATCTTCTGCTTTTGATAACAGTCTAGCTTGGGAATAGGAGTATGGGGCTTGGGCTTTCTAGCAGTCAGCTGATTGTAGAAAGAAGTATGGATTAAAAATAATAAAACTGGATGAAAAAATGTAGACCCTGCTAGTGCTGTGATACTATCTGATGGCCCGAAGGTGTCAATGAATTCCAGGGAGCTGCTAGGTAATAGTTCCTGCACCCAAACAGCAGCCACCAGTGAAAGATGTGTAAAGTCATGGTACACATTTTTGTTCTTTGGACGTGTCAAAAGTGTTTTGTCTTCTTGTTTTGTGTTGCTTCATTTTACATTCTTCTGGTCACCTGCCTGTATTTAGCTGCTTCAAAGATTCAATTTTGCAGCTGTCTCAAGGCACTTGTTATCCCTCTGTCAAAGGTACTTAATCATCAGATCCCCACTGATTTTGATGGGGTTTAGCTGCAGTGTTGCTTCTAATGGAGGCATTCAGGTTTCAACATCTTAGTTCAGAAGTAATGGCATTCTTCTCACTTGCTGGCACCGTAGATGCCATTTCCTTGGGGGAAAAGAACAGTTGAACAAAAATATCCTAGATGTACAGGAAGGCGGCACTACCCTTAAGTCAGCTTCAAGCAGGCACGTGTCAGGTTTGGCATGAGCTGGAGCAAAGCAGGGCTGTGCTGGCTGCTCAGCCACAAGATGCTTGTGAGGAAGATGGACTGCTGATCTCAGCATGGATGCTCAGTATATGAGGGGCTGGGGAACGGATTCAGTGATAACTTGGTTGGTATAGGTGAGGAAACGATAACGCAAGCTCCGGAGTAAATCGGAGAGGCTTGTCAAAGCCAAACCAGACCAAAAGTTCCTGTGGTTATTTAGTCACCCAAATAAAGAGAACACCACTCACTCTGAAATACAAAGGCTCATGATGGCTTTGTGGTGCCACAGGAGGGCTGTGGGCAGAGACGGACATTCAGATCTGCTGCCTGTTCCCATTAAGGAATGGAAATCAGAGCGTGCAAATGAAAGCAGAGGGGTGGCAAGGTGCCCCCGCAACCACTTTTCCCAGCTGATGCCTAAACAGTTCTCCTGGGACTTCAGGCTGATTGCTGTCCTTTCTGCATAATGGGTAGGCTGACTGATGTTATTGATTCTTAGTTAGTTTTGAAATTTTTTTGCTCCATTGGTCCGAGCAGCCCAGGTACAGAGTCACAAACCCAGAAATAAGCCCTTGGTGTCCAATGTGAACCTATTTTCACTGTGACAAATCCATGTTTTAGTTTTTAACAACAGACAAAGACAAGTATACTTAGTTTTAATACGTCTGAGAAAAGATTTCAATGGATTATTGCACAGTATGAAAAAGGGGAGTGTACATTTATTATATTTTTTAAATACTTCTTCCGTGTTTTAAATAGTACAATGAGAATAAGCTTCAGTACTATTTTCTAATAGGGAAATGTTTTTTCTCTGTGGTCTCCCTACGAATGTGGTTTTAATTAGAATTCTTACTCTACCCCAATGAATTTGGAGTTTTGTGAGGAAAAAAAAAAAAAAAAAGGAGAAATGAGGAAACAAAATCAGAACAATGACATAGAAATGGGGGTGGGAATAGTGCCTGTGAAGATGAGGACCCAGCCTGAAGAATTTAGTAGCAAGGGCAGCAAGGGCAACAAAATTCACATTAAAACGGAGACGCAGTCTCTGGAGGGTCATTTGAATTTCAGCTGCAGGGTAATTTTCACGCCATTTAGCCACAGCCACAGCCAGAATGAAGAGGACTAAACACATCAAAATGACAAAATCACACAAGGAGATATTGAGGCTCGTGGACGCTATATTTGATAAAATTCAATGATGTGGTAGTCTGAGTCAGTGCTGTACTAAAGATCTTGAGTGTTTACAGGAAAATATGGTATGCAACAGAAGAAAGATCTGTAGCATATTCATTCAGGGTTCATGTTACATTAAAAATCCATCAGGTACAAATAAGAAAAGATTTCTGGTCTCAAAAATAAAACCAAACCAAAACAAAAACACGAACAACAGCAAAACTTCCCAAACTGTTAAGATTTGCATCTGACCCTGAGAGTACTGGCTCTGTTTTTTTCAGATTCTTCAAGGAAACATGGGATATTTTAATAGCTATATGTGTTGCAAGTTCCCATAACAATTAATTAGTGGATTTAGGCTTCAGTAAATTGGCATAGATCACTGGAGCACAGCAGTTAACAATAATGGAGTATAGGGGCCATGGAAGCAGAGCGCCTGCTCCTTTAAGAGTAACTGGTCACAGGAGCAGCAAACAAGAAGGGGCAGAGACAAACCTGCCTGACACATGGCAAGGGAGGTAGTGGGGAGGAGGACAAACCTGGTCGGTGGCACTAATTGGCAAGGACATGTGGAGTGTGAGAAAGTTTATTTTTTTCAGCTGGGAGGATCAGCAAAGCAAGGAAGACCAACACAGAGAGATGTAAATCCTGATCAATAAGCATTAACAAAGGCAATAACCAGAAACAAACCTGGTCAGTTACACCAGTCCATGGGATACCAAAAAACTGCAGCAACTCAGGACTTTGCAACTGATAAGGATGCAAACCTGAGGGTTCATTTTTTCAGGCAGTCATTGCATAAGATAAAAATATTTTTTTATTTGATTTGTGTTTGGAAATAACATTCTGCATTATGCAGACTGAAATTCATATCATCTTGCCTCTGTATTTAGTGAATATAATGCAGAAACAAACAAAACCATAGATTTATAGAGCTCAAAGTACAATGATTATTTCATTTAACCTCATGTACTTTATAGGCTAAAGTTTACATGTTAAAATCTGTGTGAAGCCAATATAACCATATTTGCTCAAACACATACCCCCTAAACAAAATCCAGCTCTGGTTTAAATGCTGCAAGCAACAGTAAGACTCCACCAAATCCATTATAATGTTTTTGGTTTTTTTTTTTCCTCATGACTAATTATACTCCCTGCTAAAAATGAGCACTTCTAATCTGAATCTATCAACATGCAGCTTTTAAGTATTCCCTCTTGATTTTTTCTGCTAGATTAAAAACCTATTATTGTACTGGTTAAAAAAAAAAAAAAATCATGAGTCAATTAAATGCTAGCATAGCAAGGCATGTAGTGAATAATGTCAGGCAAAATGGAAAAATGGAAAAAGAAATATATTTTTTTTTTCCAAATAGAATATATACACGATTATCACTTGACACAATGAGCTAAGATGTAAAACAGCATCTGAATCATCAAAATGTATCCATCACCTTTGGTATGTACTCATGTTGTAAAGGAATAATCAAAACCAGCTTTGATTTGTCTTAATTGATTCTGAGTAATCTTGTGTAAGTATGTTTATGCAATGTAAATGTAGAACATAATTAGATTTGTGCCTTCCAATCATGGTTATATAAGGAAGGTGCTTATTTTTAACCCCATCTCTAACCTGTGGACTCTGTGGATGTGCAGGTGGCTACAATCCAGCAACTTCTTGGAGAATCATCCCTTCAAATGCCATCGCACGCTTACATTGAGATACTGGGAGCTGTTAAAGAAACAAAGTATTTAAAGGCAAAAATAATATCACATGCAGGTTGCTCCATTTGATGGCAAGTGTTTGCATTTCTGACTGACTTAGGTACGATACAACAAGTAACCACTAAATGTAGTTACTGGTGGATACTTGGCGGGTATAGAGCCAGTTGCCAGTCTGAGCCAGACTTCTTGACCATAATTTAACTCTAATAAGGCATTTCCAGTGATTACTCTGTCAGTGTACTTGTTGCTATCAATATTTTCAGCCTGAAAAGTGAGTTTGTCTATTCCATCAATGACCAGATAGCCAGAGGCACGTGGACTGAATGATTCGATGGTATACTCAAAAACATAGACCCCCAGATATGGAACATGGAACTTCCCAGTTGCTGGGGCAAATGAAGCTCCATAGTTGACATCCAGATTGTTAAATCTGATCGGTCCTGGAGTCGTCATTCCATACGTATGAGAGGCAAAAAAAGCCACCATAGGTGCATATCTGTATGAGCCTTTTGAAAAATCTGGAAAGGAATAAAGAAGAATTTCAAATAATATTACATTGCAGACCAGCAACTCGGAGCAGCCAGAAGATCAAAAGCAGTTTTTCTGAAGCCACATCACCCAGTAGCATGAGCAATTGAAATACTATTTCTGAATAATTGTATAAAAAAGTAATTTTCTTCACAATTAGCTCTAGGTGTATCCGCAGGAGAATAATTTTAGAAACAGCAAGGGAACTTTATGTTTCTCTATACTAAGTTATCATTAAGGGAGCTGCTATTTTTCTTTTCTTTCTTTTCCCACCCCCCACAAAGTTTTTTGCACCCCAGGACCTCTTTCATTGTTCATCTGTGTGCGCTGAAGCCAAGAATTTTCTCCACAAATCTTAGACAAACATTGAAGAGGTTTAGCACTCCTGATGTTAAATGAAGGTATAAAAGTATATGTTTTCTTCTTCAAGCTGAGCCTGCACACTATGATTCCCTGCCACTGTACAAATGATTTTATTCACTATTCATATGCTGTCATGAGTGAGAATCAGCCAAATGGCTGCTGAAAGCTGCATAAAATTCACATTTCATGTGGCCTGCATGTAAATTATTTATTTGTTTTCTGGACCTAATAAGCAGACTTTCCACTTATTCTTTTTTGAAATATTTTTCAAGGGCTGCATCCTTTGCTGCTGAAAATCAGAGGCATGTCTAAAATGACTCCTTGAGGCCATAGACCTACACATCATGGTAGTTACTTGTATGTGTAGAGCATTTATGTCTGTGCTGAAGCTAGCATTCCCCAGTGATGTGATTTGCCTCCCCCTTCAAATTCCATGATAACACGTTCAAATACATCTATTGCACAGCCTCCCACTCTGCACAATTCAGCAGAGAGCTCTCCAGCTATTATGGCTGGTCCCAGCCCAATTTAATCCCATCATCTGGTCATATTAAAGAATGAGCTCATGAGTCACCCACAGGGATTGATGTCTTCAGCACCAAAACAGGACACTACTACTTGAGTTGGCACTCATTAAAGTGAAATGTGAGATCTTTGACCATCAAATTCACTGTAATTAGGCCCTGGGGCAGAGGCCCATACTACTAGCATATTGCACTACTAAATTCTTTACTCACCAACACTCAGAGAATTGTCATTCACCAGCTTAGTACTGCAGTTGACTCCTCCAAAGGGGTGTCGACAAGCACAAATAAAACTCTGTCTGTCATTGATGCAGGTTCCACCATTCTGGCACGGGGAACTGACACATGCTGAATACTGCCCTGTGGTAGAGAGGAAGGAGACCCAACAACCTCAATTGCAACGGCACTATAGGGACACTTCCCAAATTTTCAGTATTTTGGAAAATCTCTTTGTCAATGCATAAAGCTGGTGGAATTTATGCCGAGGTTCTGTGTGAAGATCCTTTCCAGGCTGCCCAGATCCTTCAGTAGTCCAGACTCATTCTTTGCCTGAACACAGCTAGCCTCCAAGATATTTAGAATTACCTATAAATGCTGAGTTCTGCTTGCCTTGGAGGGTAATAAGATGAAGGATATTACAAATCTAACTTCTTTGGAGAGTTGCACTCAACAAACGTTATGAGAACTATCAAAAGTTTGGGATATCTAAACAGCTGGGATTGTACAGTCCAAGAGACCCCTGTCAAGAAACACCAACCCCTTCTTGCTCTTTCCTTCCCTTCTGTCCTCCTTAATTTAATGACTTCCCTCCCTGTAATAGAGGTTTAAAGGCAGCAAAGCCTGGCTACAGCCAAGCATTAGGAAAGCCTCCTTCTGGTGTTCCCTTCACACATCTTTCTAGAATATCTAAGGCAGGGTGGCCCTATAGATGGTCCTCAGGACACATTCAGTCTGGAGGATACTTATTCCCACAAGGAAATGGTGGGGGGGACACTGAGAATCCACCCATCCCTACCACAGCTTGGCACAGAGACCCATAGTCCACCCAGCACCAGCTGCTCACTTCCCCCTTCTAGGTGGTCACAGTGGCAGTGGACCTCTTGTGCTGAGCCCCACACAGCTGGCTCAGCCTCCTTCTTCCCTTCTTGTATGGTAGTCCTCAGACACTACAGCACTTGAAGGCACGGGAGAAAATCAGGCAGTCTGCAATTGTGTGATTAAAGAAACATGCTGGATCAGTTAATTAACCTTTACTAAAAATGGGAACGTGCTGAGAGGTGTGGAGCTTATGATACTGCAGCAGCCCTTCAGAAACAAACAGCAAAACCTGGAAGAGACAATACTAACATAGCAAATTTTATCTGGATTTTTTTTATATCAAATAAAGACAAAAGAAATAGCTACCCTCCTGCTGGTTCAGGCAAATCAGTGCTTTGGTTGGCTTTCACTAGTGCAGGCACAGAAGGCTGCTTTTTTTCAGACAGAGACAGCTTATCCTTGGGCAGACCAAAGCAGAGGTTTTGTACTGCTGGTGTGCAGGCTGGACTGTCTGGTCCATGGTGTGACTCCTCCAGACGTGTCACAAGCATTGCAGGAGAGCCTGGCTACTGGTGATGAAAGACCTAAAATGCTATCCAAACCACTGCCAGTACTTGCCCTTGCCCATAAATAACTCAACTCCAGGCTACCTACCAAGACTGTGGTAAAAGCTTTCTATTGCACACAACAGAATTTATACTAAACAGGTGGCTGAGGATGTCCTTGTCTTTCTTCTTCTCTGAGCTGGCCAGATCAACCCCAGCCAACATGGAGAAGTCTGTCAGTCCAGTGCTGCTGAGCTCTGAGAGAGGAACTACTCAGTGTAATTGTATAATGTGTTATCATGGCAGTTTGGGGGGAAGAACACTCAGGCCACATTAAAAATTAAATATTGCTATGAAAAATTCTGAACACAAAGCATTCCCAAGCCATACATTTTTTCTCTTCTCTTGCTTTGGTCAAATAAAAGTTCAGATGTTGTAGAATATAAACCTTTTCTTTACCAGAAATTACCATCAGAGCTCTGGAAGGAGAACTCCACAGAGTCCTGTGATGGTAAATCTAAATTGGTGGGTGACAAGTGAAAAAGCCTTTCATAAGGGAATCTACTTATCCCCAGGGAAATATTGAACCAGATCTTCACATAGATATTTCAGTAATGCCCATAGTTATCTTCAGATTCCCATCCAGCCATTTCACAGACTGCGGCATTAAGGCAAACTATTTCCATGAGAAATTTTAGTTCAGTGAGCAGAATGCTAAAGCATATTGCATGGTGCCACTTGCACTTGCACTGATGGAGCTCATGGACTTAAAAACATAACAGTAAGTCCCTTCACAGAAAATAAGGTCCACCCCATAATGCCTCAAAGAAAACAATTTAGGACTGTTGTGACTGGGGTCACAGCAGAGCAACTGGACGTGAGGAAATACTATTTTTCTTTTCAGATAATAGTTTTGCTGCACACTTAATTGAAGTTGTTTTTCACTCCTATTTACAGCAGGCATGCATGACATTTCACTCATATTTACCAAGTACGTATTTACCCAGTGTGAAAGGAAAGCAGAAAAGGAAGGAGAACAGCTCATTGTGCTGACTGTATCATATTCCAAAATACAAAAGCTTTGTCTAAGAACACGGCAGCCTCCCTGCTAATTGGCCTCTGCTTATCATAAACAAGGAGTAAACCCAAGAAACAGGAAAAAGATCACAAAAAGGAAATGATAATGAGATTGAGGGTAGTGTTTTAACAGTCTGCTGAGGAATGACTTTGCCTGAACTTAACCTTGGAGTTAAATCAAATTGAGACACAGCTTTGCCTACAATAAATTAACCCTCCAGGTGCAGCACTGCTTAAGAGCACCGGGGGAGCCTTCCAGAACTAGAAGAAGCTGTGGAAAGGTTTGAGTCAAGTTAGGATTTTCAGCATAAGAGGCAAATGCCCTAGATCTCCACTGAGCAGGTGATCTCTGTGTAACTTCTGTGTGATCTCACAATAGCATGGTTTTGCCATCATTTCTGGTGAGGCTGTTCCTCTGCCCAGTATTCCCTTTCTTTTCCTTGCTGAAGAGCATTCTAAGACACTTTGTCCGTGTTCTCTGCTTGGGGTAGAGATGCCAAGAGATTCAGATTAGAAAAGGATTTCCTACTATAGTACATATCCTTTTTTTTAATTAATCTTTCACAACTTAATAGTGTATATGAGTAAAAGAGAGAGACTTTATAAATTAAAATAAAGGCTTAAACTGCAGCTATCAATAGGACAAAACATACTGAAGGCAGCTGCAATTTACACTGCATATGGCAGGAGCAAGGAGAGCCTGTTAATGCTGAGTTCTGCTGCTCTTCAGGAGGGCAAGCAGCCAGAAGCTCTTTTGGGAAATAGACTGCCAGTGCTGTACAATCGTGTCTTCAAACAAATAATGAGGCTCTGTCAGTATCTACTGGGATGTTGTTTAGAAGCAAATCAAATATTTAGCAATTTAATGGTCTCCTTATGGAAAGAAGTGACTCCAGTGGTTCAATTTGGAAATGTCTGAACAGGGAGTAACTTACCAACATTTTCTCAGTATTTGGTTATTGGCACAGCCAATAAGAGGTTAACAGCCTCTCAGGATGCCCTGGGAGATTGGCAGAACCTAGGAATCTACTAAACCATCTTGCTTGCACAGGGCCAGACTGGCTGTCTGTCTGCTGTACCCAATCACCTCTGGCTTGGCACTCTCAGCCTGACAGCACTGAGAGGCAGGAGCATCCCCAGTCACCTAGATGTGAGCAGTGCCAGGGAGCAGCAGGGGAGGGGCAGCCCCACCAGGGTTGGCACCCAGGAACTGAGGGTGACAGCAGGGCTGGTGCCTCACCTGGAGAGGTGACAAACAGGGCGTGGTAACCAGGGTTAGTCACAGCCCAGCATGACTGAAAAGGCCTGGGATTTTGGTTTGAAGAGAAATGAAGTCCCAGGCCTGTGGGCAGGGTGTGCAGTCTGGGGGCTAGGGCAGGGTGCCCAGGGCAATTAAGGTTCTCAGCGTCCTCAGGGCCCTGACAGAGAATTCAGGTAAGCAGGTGGAGGGTGTCTGAGGTGCAAAAATAACCCACAACAATAAAAAAAAAAAACCACAAAGTACAAAGATTCACCTGCAGTGCTCTTGGGGAAAAAGCAAGGAGGACAGGTGCCTCAGCTGTACTCTCCAGTTTGGGTGGGGGAAGGTTGTCAAGACTGATCTGAGCTACCTTGACTCTGGCAACCCTGCTTCTCTGTTAAGCAGAAGTATCTAATGCTTCCAGTGCAATGATTTCAGGACCACTACATTAAAAATAACAAAACAGTTTCATCTACCCACTAGTCTAAAGAGTTATGAGGCAAAATTGAAGTATGTCATTGAACTGAACTAAAATAACCATCAAACTTGTGCAATTAAAACACAAGGTGGAAAACATTTAGATTAATTTCACTGCAGGCTTGGAGGATGAAGTGGTGATGGAAACTTGCATTTCTGTTAGGAGTCAGAAGTCAAAATCAAAAATAAGACACAGAAAATGAGAATGAAAAGAAATTGCCTGTCTCTCACATGGATACACTGTTTTAAATATATAAATGTTGCACTCTCAGTTATTCACATTGATGGGAGGGTAGTACAATCTGAATAAAGAAAAACTGCAACTAATACAAGAGATGCAACCAGAGAGTGCCTTCACCTCTGGAAAGCACAGTAGCCTCTAGATTCTTCAGAAAACAGACACAGCACTCAATGGCAATGGGGAAACTGGAACTGAGCTAAGCTGCCCTCACATTTCTGCAGCAGAACAGTGCACTGGAAGGTAGGACCAGACGTAATCCATAACCAAGACTAATGAAGTTTACTGTCTGTTTTTTCTTTAAAGGCTGTCGTCTTCCCTACGTTAGATACTTGAAGCAGTCTTAAGACCATCACTTTTTATCTACCCTGGGTTGCCATTACAGTTAGTATCAGATAAAGTGTTAAATTTTTCACCCCTCATACATGCATTGGAGCCTCTAGCTGACATAAACCTATTCTTTTGTACATTCCACAGTGTGGGAGGTCTCCAAACCCCTGTGTCCCTGCATACACAATGCAAACTCACATTTTTTCCCCTTGATTTCAAATAACTGCTGGGGAAAACTTTACCTCAGGGCCAAAGCCTGAACACAATGAAAATCCCAGTATATTAGACCAGGACCAAATATTGAACATATTGGAGACAATGAGAAATTTTTTTCATCTCTTTCTAGAATTTTATTCTGGTCTTTCTGAATTTAAAAAGATGATCTAAGATCAAAGACATTTTATTTTTAGCCAGTTATGCCTTAGGGTTTCTTCTAGAAACTTTAGTAGAGTCAGCACATATCTCTGAATAGTCTCCTGGAAGTTGAGAGGAAAAGCTTTTCTGGACAAGTAAAACCTATCCAGGAAGAAGATGGATATTTGTTAATTAAAATAATGGTCTTACTTCTTTAATGTACAGAAGTGTACTGTATGGCTTTGCTAGGGGTGAGATAGCATTGAGTGCAAAAGCTCATTATTGACAGCAATGTTTATACAGACTTTTCCATGTAGAAACCTTGCTTAAACACAGAGGGCTTTTCAATGCCTGCACTTTCTGTAAGAGTAAGCATACACCCAATGCTATCAAGCAAGCTATTTGTTAAAATTCAGCATGAGATAAATAATAAATAGGAAAGACACTAATTCATTAATGTGAAGTAAAAAACAGAGCAGGTGGCAGTTTCCTGTGCTCCAGGCAGGTAGCACCAGTGACATTTTCAACAAAGTAGAAAATTCAGGAAGGATCAAAGGCATCATATCTTACTCTCCCTCTATTTTATTTCTGAACAAGGGTATTTCTATCCTGTGGAGTGGCAGGAAGAGGCAGGAAACAGAAATGACTGAGAAAGAATTGCCATTTTTAATATCAAAATATTAAAATTATTTTGTAGCAAGAATTTAGCAAATCTTGGTGTGTTTTTAAATGGGACTGACTGTTGGAATAGCTGTGTGTCCTTTCTAACTGAAAAGTTAACCAAGAACTGAAACATTTCAGCAGAGATGGCTTCCACCAGAAGGCAAGCTACTCATGGGACTGGGGCTTCATATGAGATCTTTCCCATTGATTGCTGAAAAGTGCTGTACCTAGAACAGGAGGAGATGAAGGAGGGAGGGGGCAAAAGGAGACTACCCATGGTCTTAGCACATGAACAGGACTGGTGGTTCTTACTACCTCCACATCTGCCTACAGCAGGGACCAAATATCTTCTCAGAAATGTTGGTAAGTTTAGAATACTTTGCAGGAAACATTTAGGTCTGGATCTCCAAAAGTATCTGGACATGTATCTGTCATTGAGGAATCTGTTTTATTTTAATGAGAATTAGAGTCCTCTAAGATTTATACTCAATCACTCTTCATTTTCTGGATTTTTCCAGGCATTATATTGCTATAAAACATTTAGCTTTTTTGCTATTGATGCTCTCTCATATCTCATTCCCAAAGTCATAATTCAGAGTTTGAATTTCTATTAATTCATCCACATTAATTCAATTCACATGATGACTTTTGAATTTAGGTTCAGAAGCTAATCACACTCAAAATTTCTTTTTTAAGAATGGCAGCTCCTTTTCAGCTGAGCTGTTCTCCAGATGAACTGGAGTCAAACCTACATTATTGGCTGGGTTCCTGATTCAGCAAGAACACACTGTTGTAATTGTAACTGCACTCATAATCTCAATGGAGTACTGAAGGAGATGACAAAAGCCTCATTCCAGTGATTTCGTGCATCCATTTGCTTCAGGGTTTTTATACTTTCCATCCTTACTGGCACTGCAGAATACAGATGCAGCTCCAGATTTCTCACTTGGTTTGCACGGTTTCTACTGAAAGGGCTAATTGAGACGTAGGCACAAAATTCTTGCAGTTTAGATTTGGTCTGAATTGTCAGTTACATTTGAAAGGTCAGGTTCTCAGCTGAGTTTGTGAGCATGGACATATACCTTAAACTGATCAGATGTGAATTTATTAGGAAAAAATTAAATGGAGCTTCCAGATACCTTAGTGCAGAGTTTCCTCGTAAGAAAAATAAATTCTCTTGTAAGCAAGAGACTAGAGTAACCTCAGGTTCCTCTGCAACACTCCTTATGGCAGCCTTTAGACTTTTTATTCACTCTCGGTCAAGATCTGCCACCTCAGTTTATCTCAATGGTTACATAAGACTTTACTACAAAGACATTAGGTTTTAGTAGAGTAAATGCAGTACCTGAATCTATAGTATTGTCCGCATTTCTCTGACTTCGGCTTGCCAGGGTCATGGTGACATTTGCTGCCCCTTTCTTCACTGGGGCTGGCTTCTTTATAACTGGTTTCACCTGCTTCTGAAGTTTGGTGACATTGTTCATTGCATTTGCCACTGATACGTCAACACGCTGGGTTAAATTTGCCAAGATAGTTCCTGCTTTTAGTTCAAGCACAGACTCAACCAGCTCTTTGAGGCCTCTCTGCAGCAGGGGGATATCTGGCTGAGCAAGTTTAACCAGCAGAGGGACACTCGCATTCACCTCCTGGATGCTGCTGTGGGTCTCCTGACACAGGGCCCAGGCCTCGTGAGCAGTCCTGTTCAGAAGGGGAACGCTGTTTGACAGGCGGATCGACTTCGCTTCCAGGGCCTTGACCCTGGAACTCAGTGTCTGGAGCTGAAGTGAGACCACTTGCTCTTTCTCTGTTGAGGCAGCTTTGGTTTTTTTCAGCGAGACACAGTTGTTGGCCAAAAACTTGGAAATTTTTGACTCCACGTTCAGAAGGCGAACCCCATGGTCCTTTAGTCCCTCCACAGAGTCAAATAGCTTCTCTTCCAGGCGGCTGATATCTTCTTGCTGATTTTCCACCTTTGATGATGTTTCATTTAAAATATAGAAAACTCTTCTGAAATTGTTGAGGATATTTTTGTCAGACTCCTCATATGGAAGGTCAGATGCCTGTGAAGTGATTTCATACTTCTTGCCCATGATCAGTGTTTGGAGGGATTCGTTCAGCTGTTGGAACTGGGGAATGAAAGCCAGGAGGATGTCCAGCTTCTCAGCTCTGCCACAGCAGACTTCAGTCTCATTTCTTAAAGCATGGAATGTATCTTTCAGTACATAGCTATCTTGAATAGAATCAATAGCACTGTTTATTACTATCATGGTCTTGTTTAAACCATCTTCTATTTCCATGGAGCATTCATTAACTCGACTCTCAAACAATTCCTGATAAGCTTGAGATTCATTTTTAAGTCCTTCCTGAGCTTTGGAAAGCTCCTTAATTGTGGAACTCATTCTGTTAATCACAGTAGTGAGGTTTGCAAGCTTCTCATTGATTTCTTCGGCTTGGATTTGTTGTTCATACTCTGAAGTCAGACTAAACGGTACCCCTTGTTCAATCAAGGGTTGCAGGATCTCCATATCATAGCACAAATCATTAATTTGCTCATTCATTTTGCTCATCTTATTGTCCAGTGGAAGGATCAGGTCAGAAAGGCTTTTGTTGAGGACAAGCACATTCTCCTGGGTTGCTGCCAGCTGTATTTCAAAATCCTTTCTGCTCTCTGACAACATGTCATCACAGATTCCCAGAACAGAGTCTCTCTGAATTTCCAGTGCAACACTGAGATTGCTGATCTTGCTGTCTTGGACTCTTAAATCATCATAGATCTGCAGCACCATCACACCTTGTTTCTTAACTTTCTCATGCAGTGTGAACAAGTATTCTGTAACATTGTATTCCGTGTCTTTTTCTGCTGAAGGGATATTTTGGCTTGAAGACTGTTCAGCTGATAACAGTTGTTCATGAGCATCTTTCATTTCAGTAAGAGTCCTATTTAAAGATTCATAATAAATAACACTTCTTGACTGTTGATGCTCCAAGTTATCTTCCAAGGATTTCTGCTTTTCCTGTAAAGCTTTCATAGGCTTGTCACAAGTGAGGGTCATTTCCTCTTTCATCTGGACAATATGACTCTTTAGCTCCAAAATGTCAAGCTTTGTTGGCCCACTGTCTTTCTCCTGAGCAAATTTTTGCTGAGTTTCATTCAGATGCTTGACAAATTCTTTTATATTTTCAAGGTCATCTGACAAACTAGACACAGTCTTGAAAATTTGAGCCACGCTTTCTTGCATTTCCCCTTGAAATACCTTAAAGTGTTCTCTGACAACATCTTTGACTAATTCATTAATACTTCTGGATTTGATACCTTTTGGGGAAAAAGAGAAATATGGAAACAATCAAACCAATTTTGTTAGCACCATCTACTTTTTTTTCTCCAACATGAGAAAACACAGCACTTTACAGGAATAAAGCACAAATCCCTGCCTTAATTTACCCACTCATACAGCAAAATTTACAGCTGAGGAATGTAGAGGATTGCTAATAGTGGTTTGAAGACTAATCCCTCTAAAAGGACCTTCTACTGAAATCAATGGAACTTTTGCTATTATTTCAAAAGGGCAAACTCAGATTCTGCGTGTGGTGTCAGCTTTGTTCTCGTAGCTAAGCTGTTTCTGAGCACTGAAATGAGGAGATCTATGTGCTTTTGTGGCTCGCTCATAAGAAAATGATGTGCCCTTTCTCCACTGGGAAGGTAAGGAAAAAACACCTGCTTTATCAACCTTACAATCAAGAAGTGAAAGCAGAGATTGTTACCTTCCTATTGTATTGTGTCTGCAACACAATATAGTGAGAAAGAAGCAAAATGAAAAGAATAGCCTTACTGAATATCTGAGGTTAGTAACACGACAACTGCTGCAAAAGCAGATATTTTAAAGATACAAACCTAGGAATACTGATCCTGAAATGTGCTAGGCAGAGGTGAATGTGTGGGAATTTTACTCCTGTAAATAACATCAAGTATGTCTCCTGTAAATAACATCAAGTATGTCTCCTGTATAGCCTTAGATGGGTTAAGACAGTCATCAGGTATAATTCATTGAGAGTGTTGCATGACATATTTGAATTAAAGCAGTAGTTGCAGCCAGCTTGTGGTGCAACAGTTAAACCTTTCAACCTCTACAATGCCTTGATGACCATCAGTTCTCCGATTAAAACTGCACTGATAAAAGCAGAAATTCTGCTGCCATCCTGTATTTTCCTATCAACTGTTTTTATAACTTGGATTTCATTGCTTCATCTCTAAAACACCAAGGCAAGTTCTGAAATCTTGTTTGAAAGTATGTTCTCAGCACGAGCAGTAAAATGGCAGGAAATCAGACCCATGAAACCCAACACGACCTTGGGCTCTAAGGGTGCAAAACGATTCCAAATAAAATTGATTTTGTTCATCAAGCTAGAAAAGCTCAGTCCTTTTTCTGTTGAGGAGATCCGTTTGAGTTGTGCATGTGTTTCAGCTGGAAACAGAAATAAAGTAGTTGATAAAATTTACTTTTTATGAACCATAAGTGTGTCTCAATCTTCATTATATCTGGTAAAATGGACAGTAAAGACCTCTGATACTTAGAGGAGAAATCTGCCACTTGTTCAGGTGGTGGGTTTTTTTTCAAGGCAGGATTTAACAGGCAGGTGCAATAAATTTGCTAGCCTAGAAAAGAACCACTTCAGAACAGTAGCATGAAGTTTCCTAAGCAATAAACTCAGTCAACTGTAGTCACAGGTGTCTCAGCCATTTTTTCACAAAGTATAAAATGTAAAAAAAAAAGTGATAATACTGAGATTGTCCTTATTATTGTACTTTTTACTACCTGAATAGCAAGTAAATGGCCAGACAGAGGTACACACATGAATGTGCACACTTATGTACAAAGTTTTGTCAGCAAACTTCAGTGTAGGAAAAACAGTAAGATAAGATTCCTGAGAATAGGGAAGTCCTGGCAGCTGAGAGGAAGAACTAATATATGAATACGGTGTAAAATAACTGACATGGAGAGAAACCACTGTAACTGATGATTTGGTCAGGTTACTCTGTGATGCTGAAAAATATTCTGTGCTTTAAGAGGTTCAGTGGACTGTGAATAAAAGTTTAATGGCTGTGGAAATAAACAAGGCTACTCTACGCATTCTGTGAGGAATTAAATTTCTTCATCTCAGCAATCAATCTTAATAACAGACCACCCTACTGCACAAGATCATCCATGGGACCTATACTGGCCTTTAATTTCTGTGGCAGTCAAGAAACTGCCAGCCTCACTCTCTCCCATTCTTGCTCTATTTATCTGGATCATGGGTGTTGTGTGGAGCTCAGCTTTTGTTTTCAGGTGTTCTTGTTATCAAGGGGGTGGAGCCTGATAAACCAGGCAGCTTTGGGTTTCTCTCCCTTATTTGATGGCTAGAACAACTAAGTACTTGGAAATCAAGTTTTGTTCCAAAGTTCCCTAGAGGATATGGGAGCACACTTCTCTGCAGAAAGACCTGACCCAAACTTGTGTTGTAGGTGACAGCTGGGTATATTCTTAAGCTTGAGCTAGGAATAATCACGAGTACATTCATTAATGTAACTCAGTTTATCTGTTGCTCATTTTGAAACAGAAAGGTCCAAACTACCTGTGAACATTAAAGATCTCTTGCACTTTTTATGAGATTATAAATTTTAATTTTAACTCCCTGGCTGAAATCCTAAGCGTGTAATTACTTTGTGTCAACATATACTCCCTTTGCAGTTTCAGTTATTTGAAGAAAAATGTGCAAAATAAACGTCTGCACACAGGAGACCGAGTTAAGGTATACATCCAGCTGCAAATTAGTTTTCTGACTTGGAAGTGGTTAACTCTCCATTGTTGAGTTCATTTTAAAGCACTGTACATTTTAGTAATGAAGAGGAAAGGAGTCTATAAAAAGGCTTGATACAGAGTCAAAGTAGGAAGAAAGAACAGTAAGAAGTAAGCTGAGTATATTAAAGGGAAAACACTAAATTATTTTCTCTAAGTGAAAAGTAGGAACAGTCTCCTGAGTCCTAAAAACCATTCAAAAAATGCACAACAGATTCTACTAATCAAATTGGAGGAGCATATCAGTTACTATAGTGAGCATTGCCCTGTATCAACAAACGACAGCTTTGTGGGACAAAAGTCTATTTACAGATGAAACCAAGAAATAAAGACTTACTTCTAACAAACCCTGACAGAAAGCTGGACAGCCATTAGAACTTCTGTGATAAGAAAAAAGGTGATATGGATATGAGCAAAACACCTGGACACCATGGGAAGAAAACAGAAAAGCAGGTGAAGAAAGAATTGTCAATAGCACGAAGCAACTATAGACTTAACAGTTCTTCAAAAGCACATGGCTTCAGGGTGGCTGTGTTAGTGGGGAAAGTTGTGTTTTGTTTTGGGAGAGCTTCTAAGAGTAATTTTTAGCAAGTCTAATATGCCTACACTGCACATATGTAACAAGGTAGAGGACAGCATGGAAATAACTTCCAGCCTCTGATACTTTAGGATGCTCATTGCCCACTTGCAGTAGGACTGACTGATAATTCCCTGGAGAGGAACTGCAGTTGGCCTTTGACATTACACATACAAGAACAAGGTTAGTGCACATATACACCAATCCTGTTCTCTCTCCCCTGCTTTTTTTTTTATAAAAGCCACAAATAACCTGTAATGGAGTGCCCATAACTAGAGTCAAGGAAAGTAGTTAATAGCAGCATTTTCACTAGAGATACTTGATTAGGGGGTAGATGGAGAACATAAATAAAAAAAAATGGTCATCAACTGGAGATTTCATCTAGGCAGGTACAACAGAACATGGCAGACAAAAACAATAAAGACTTGAAACACATTTGCAGAGAAGTGTGAAATAAGTAGGGTTTTTTGGTACTATACCTTTTAGTTAGGACTTGGACCCTTAAATATAGGTAAAGAATGGAGAAATAGGAGCACAGGATGCAGCAAAAGAATTCTTGGAAGAGCATGAAAATGACAGCTAGAATGAGTGGAATATAAAAAAGGATGAAGAGAAAGCAGAAGGGAAATGGGAAATATTCAAAGACAAATTAAATGTATGCCCAAGGGTCAAGAATGCCATTTAGCAATATGTGGAGAGGTGAACGCAGGTCACTGAGTGAAAGATGGGATAAACTTGATCCAGGGTACAAGACAGCCATCTAGCACGTGGCATGAGCAACTCAGGAGACAGAGGACTGAAAATAAAAGAAATGGGACCACACTTGATAAATTCGAGGGAGATGCAAAGGCATTTATTTTTTCATTAAGTTTTATCCCAGTGTAAGGAGCCAGGGTTCCCTTGTTCTATTTTTAAAGAACAGAAAAGTCCTCTGGATTCTAAAATGTAAAACTAATAGTTTGGGGGAAAATTCTGCAAAATGAGAAAAACGTTGCACATCAAAGAAATGAAAGCTTCGGTCCCAATCTGTTTGTTAAGCACCATTTGTAGCTGGATAACAAACAGATCCTGCTGCAGGATTCACAAAGAATGGATGTATAATTCTGTTTGAAAGGGTCTGTCCAACCTCCTGATCCCTGGCTGTGTCTTTCTCATCTACTGAACATGAGTACGGGTGTTTATCGAAGGCAGCCAAATACGATCAGAGGCAAATTATTCACCAGGGTGTTTGTCATGTTATAAATATAACCACCACACACTCCCTCATATGCTTCCCTTGCATAAATGAATTACGTATTAAAGTTTAAAGAATATTAACTAAATTAGGTTGCAAAGTAAACACTGCATCCTTTAGCAGCTGTCAGATAAACAAAAAACAGAGATAAGAATATTTGCAGAAGCTCTAAGTATATGAAAATACCTGGACAGTGTCTTAAGTTACCATATAGATGATGTAGTACCCAAGAACATAACTTTTTTTGTCATTATAAAAGACACCATAACAAATGTCAAAATAAACGAATCCCTCTATTATGAAATGAAACTTAAAAAAAAAAAAAAGAGTTCTCTCTATAAATGATGAACAATTAGATAGGACAGTCTATGAGTGTTTTTAGCATTTTTTTTTTCTCGTACCTTTAACAGGGTGAGTGATTACATTAATTTATTTTCCTTACCTTTTAAAAAAGACTGGAAGTCTCTGCCTTTATCTTCATTGATTTTGCCTTCCAGAGAAGAAAGCGTCTTGCTCACATCATTCATCGCAGTAGCAATGCTGTCAACTTTCTTCTGTAGAAAAGTCAGTTTCATCTCCTGGTTGCTAATCTTCTCGTTCATTTTTTGTGTTAGTGCTTTGTCAGAGAGCAAAATGAGAAGGAAAAAAAAGGTAGTGTAAAAACATTGGAGGGGGAAGAAAATGTAAGTGACTTGACATACATTAGCTGGAAGTGGGCTTAAAAGCTTCTGAATTTTTAGTCTTGAGTGAATCATCCTGATTTTTGTCATGTATTAGTGACATTCAGCAGCACAGCAATAAATTACTGGAGCATCTGTATCCCTTATTTAAAAAAAAACCATAATTTTACAAGAGTATTTTGAAGGTTAGTATATTTTAATCAATATAATACCATTCTTCCTCCTCCTAGCACTCTACAGGGAATTCAGTTGACTCTTACATAGTCTAGCTCCTTTAACACAATCACAAAAGCACTGATTTTTACTTATCATTTATAACACAATTTCCTGAATTTGCAAGGCTAGTTTCTGAAGGAATACATGATCTTTCAATGTTGGGGTCAAAGTAAACACTTGTTCAACACAGCAGCAAGGCAGAAAAAAACAGCTAATAGATAAATAGCTTGGGAATAATCATTACTTCGTCATTACAGAAAGATTCCCAACCTGTGAAGTCAAGTTTATTTTAAAAACTGCCCTGTTCCTGACACTTGTAGTCTCTTGAGGTATAACAAGGCCTAGCTGGGTGCTTTTAAGACAGGTAGTTGAGAAGACTGCCTTGGTCCTGCAAATTAAGACTCCATATGACTTCAAGCCATTAGAGTTTCACAGTTGACAGGAATGAAACTTCGTCTGGGTTTTTCAGAAGACACTGATAAAATGAAGTGCTCTAATTCCTGTAAGCAAAGCTACAAAATCTCTTCAGTTCCTTCAAAAATTCAGACTAAATGGCCTACCTTAGACACATGAGATATTACCACACATGATTCGGGCCATACTATGACTTAATAAACTGCTCTGCAAGAGGTTCTTTAGCAGTACCTACAAATACTTATTAGCATAAATTTAGAGTATCATTATTGATCTTATGTCATTTTTTAATTATGGCATCTGTATCTTTTTCAAGAGCAGTAAAAAGTTATAGCTGGAAATCATGTAGAAGCATAGAAGCCTAAAGACCACAACAAAACCAAATAAGTAATATGTAAAAAGGCATATTCTTCTGAATAGGCTTTTATTTCTCAAAATTCTAGTATGTAAAAAAAATAAATGTATAATATCTAATTCCAGAGCATTTGGGAAAATCCAGAAAATTGACTAAATGCACCTAGTCAGTGCAGATGAAGTGTGTCAACACTCATGAGAAAGCTCTCCTGTAAAGGCATGTTGATTGTAAAATTCATAATAGGGTGGCTGTTTCAGGTTAGGATGTTAGCATCTCCAGCTGTTCACTTTGTTCATACAGTTTTAGACCCAAAACTGTATTTATAACTCAACCACATAGTTTAGAGCCTGACAACTCTCCCCAGCGACTTTGTGGAGACAAGCTGTTGATGGATTTTTGTCTGAATACTCTTCATCATACTATTACTCTACGACAGACAGACAGGTCTGGAAACTTCTGCTCCTTGTTCAATCTCTAATATGAAAAATTCATTACTGGCTCATGCATAGTCACCCAAACTGATGACTAACCTCCAGGGTGCAATGCTTTCTGCTGTTTGTTTTCTGCCAGTTCCTAATGAAGGGGGAAGACAAGCTGTACAGGTGAACCTGAAAGTGAGGTTTGTATGTGGCATGGCTGCATAGTGAGGGCTGGAAACAGCATCTGGCTTGTAGAGTCTGGCAACTGCTGATGGAACAAGAGTCCTGGCCCCAGGTTGTGTTTGCAGGGTTGGCAGTCAGAACAGGTTTCTCTCTCCTTCTAAACTGACCTCATTTGATTTAAAAATAACTGAAAAGCAATGAACTTAGAGCTCAGAGATTCCAATTTCAGAGTTATTTTTGAGAATAGAATTCCTACTAAGAGAAGTGACACGTTTTAATGCACTATTGATCAAGCTCACTTTTTCATAGGGGTTCTGTCTGCTCTACTAGACATCCTCCTCCCTCCAGCCCTGGGAAACTTGTTTGCTCACATGGTGTCACCAAAGCACAACAGCCTTGTCCTAACTCCCATTTGAAAATACCTTTCTATATCTCCATGCAATATTCAGTCTTTCCCTCTCCCACCTATGCTTTCTAATATTCCTATTGTCTATTATGATTTAAAATAAAACGTATTCATGGACATAAGCACATACATGTGTACTGTCTCCATAAAACCCTGTGGCAGTCTGGATTCTGACATCCTGTTCACCCAGCATGCCTGAATATCCCAGCACCAGAACAGTATATTGACAACCACAACACACAGATCTGAGAACATAACTTGTCTTATTATTTGGTTCCACAAAATGTTTTTTTTTGATATAGGCCAACTGTGTGAGTGATGATAACACCATAGTGTGCAACAGCTGATGCTAATACAAAAAAACCCGTGTAGATATCCATAATGGGAACACCAACAGAAAAGGGAGGTGGTAAAAAGGTTAATGGAACTTGCCTCCTTTACACTGTCTTTCACATCTTGTCCATCTTCTGGCTTCTCACTGTGTAAACTACAAGCTCATTTGACAGTACGTAGAGAACTCTGCCAAATAACATGCATATAATTTGCCACCAAAAATTTACCTGACAAATACACTGTCACTCACTGCTGGGGAGTATATCACAAGCAGAGAATAATTTTTTTTCGAACAACTTCCTTATTTGAGCATGTTTCACATATTTCTTTTGTTTTATTTAAACACGATATGCTGATTGTTGGCAGTCCTCTGAGTACACAAATTTCCTAAGTAATTCTGCATTACCAACATCTCTATACCTTCAAAGGCATACACACTTTCAGTTGGTACATACCAGAGTACAATATAGTCTTCAAATTACTTGAATACTTCCAGATCATGGCTATCCTTTCATGTTTCTTTATAATGAACACTTAATATTTGAATTCCTGGTTAATTGGAATGATCTGACAAACCATGATTGTTTCTGCTCCCAGTTTAGTGAGTTTGCAAACACGCCTGGAATGAATAAAATTCTTTCCCATGAACACTTATGCAGACAACTATGAAATTAATTTTCTGGAACATTTGTGCTGGTAAACTTTAAATCACACAGATGGTAATGGAAAACAAATATAAAGGAAAGTGAGCACACCCATCAATTCTAGAGACTACAAGATAGAGAAACTTCTCATACATGAGTCACCTGAGATAACTTTTCAATGTAGATCTACATTTAAATAAAAATGTTTTTATCACTAACTAGCTCTTACAGTGATGAAATCTATAAATTCCCTTGCAAGAGAACATTGATGTTATGTTCCAAAACCTTACAGTCTAGATAGGTTGAAATAAACACAGCACTGAGCAAATAGATAGTGTAATAAGAAACAGCCTCAAACACCTGTGGTATAAAGCTGTAAATTGTCCCTGAGTTGCTTAGCTATTTGATCATCCTAGATGGAGTAGTTTAAAGTACACCTAGGCTGCCCTTGCTAAAGTCTGAAGTATCATTGTACTGATTTTGAATAAACCACCCATTTTTATAAGAAAATATATAGCAATAATCACATATTCAGATAATACAATTAATATCACTACGTTTTCCTTTATGATCAATGCTTGTCTGTGCCACTCCTAGATTTAGGGATGGGTTTTTTTTTTTTGGCTCTGTCGTTCAGGGCTTGGGGTTCTTTTTCTATTAATTCATCTACTTTACTCAGTAATATAATAGTTTCAATATTTCTGTGCAGAATGATTTTCCTGGGTTTAGTTTAGTCACAAGGCACTATAAATGCTAAGCTACTGGTACCATTAAGTGAGATTCTTCTGCCTGTCTTTGATAAAGACAAGCGTGCCATTGAACCATGACTACTAGAAACTCAAATGGTTCACTCAGGTCCCTTCAGCAGACAGGGATTTTTCTCCAATTGCTTTTGCAGTGATCTTAGGGAGTCTCATGATCAGTGATTGGGCTAGAGGTGATAGTGATTATAGCAGCTGACCTGGCACACTGGGGTCCTGAGGAACTCCTGGTGTCCTCTCACTGACAATTCTGCTGCTTTCAGCCTGGTTGCTGTGTATAAGCGATTGTGGCTCCTGAGCTGAAAGAGGGAGGGAAAAGGAAAGGATGTGAGTGAAATACTGAGCATGACAATTGGGGTTCCACAACAATTCCTATTTCCCTCTGCTGTGTACCAACTTTACCAAAGCCTGCAGTAATTCTTGTTATTTGCTTAGTCCATCTATAACAGCGTGGGACCACATGGATGAAGACAGCAAACAGCTTTATAAACAGCTTCCCAAGACTGGCAGGGGTTGGTACTATTACTAAAATGACAAAACTTGCCTCTCAAAAACAGAATTTTGAAATTTCCAGGGCTAGAGGAATACTTTAGTTTAGTATAAAACAGCACTACAAAGACAATATAAGGATTGCCAACTGTAAAATCAATTAGGTTTTTTAATAGCAACAGAATTAGGTTTGTTGGAACTGATCTTTTTTTTCCCCTTTACAGTTTACACAAGTCTTTAGCAACGGAAATCATCTCCCTAAAAACAATGACAATATTACATTGTAGCAGCACCTAAAGAATAAAAAAAAAATTCAAAACAATGAAATTCCAACAAACATCATTGAAATTTGTGACTGGTATACACATTAAAAAACTTCATGAAGGTGATACATTTGCAAATATTTTCTCTGGTCATGACGTCTGGGGTTTTTTGTGCTTATTTTACATCTCAACCCAAAGACTCCAAAAGTAATTTGCAAAAAGATAGACTACTATTATTACTTCAATATTACAGATGGGGAAACTGAAGTCCTGAAAAATAAAGTGCCTTCACTCCCAAGAAGTAGGAAACAACTGATAGGATAGCTGGGAACTGAACTGAGATTTCCACCTTCCTGATACACTTCTCCAGCCATTAGGCTTAACAATGTAATTTTCATCTCATTATTGTTCAAAAAAATGAAATATGTGCAAAGCAGGTTGCAAATTTGCTAGTAGAGATTCATGCCAATTTTTGTGTGCCTGCTCAGAGCAGGAAGCATTTTGAAGCGGATGTTGTTCCAGCCTGAAGACATCCAAGGAATGCCACTGATGTGGCACTGATGGGATTTGCAGTTTCTAGTACAGTACAAGCAGAATGACTTGGGTATGGTGACACTATTTTCCATTTCAAACATTAAAACCTAGTCTGGCCACAGCATGAGTTTCCAAGGAAACAGAATGGAATGCTGAATCAAGAAATTCCCTATGTTCCATCAGCCTCTTAGTTGTATATATGAGGATCAATAAATTACATTTAAGGGTGATATAACATGTTTTATGTTGTAAATTAGGGGGGGGAGTAACAATTAGGAAAGGAACTCAAGGGAAATTATCATACAAACTGAAAGTTTCATAGAATTTATTGAAATTGGCTGATAAGAAATATAAAAAACCTCAAACACTTATCATTTAAATAGCTTCTGTTATCTTTCTATGGCATGGTTATTGACAGGAGTTAAATACTTGCCAATTCAGCCCAATTCATTACACAGGATTTATCAAGTGGTGATGAGATGATATAATCTATGACAAGGGAGTCAGTTACTTGCCTGTGATAAAGACCAGCTGATCGATGTCCTTTTATTCTTTCATTTACTCATCTTTCTGTTGCTCTAAATGTATTCATTGCCACTGCTAGTGCTACAGACACCAGATTTTTTAAATACTATCCATCTTATCTTTTATCCTCTCTATTAAACGGTCTTACCCACGGCTTCACACTGTGGAACACCCAAACCCTTACAGTTTTATTCACTTTTGGAGTTCCAAGGATATTTATTTAGCACTGTGTGCTTGTTTTACTAATGCTTTAAACTGCTCAGATAACTTAATCCCTGTAAGACCCAGGACATGCTATCACTCTGTTGAGGCAGGAGCAAACCAATAGTGCATTACACTGCTTCTAAAAGCAGCAAGGGCTGTACACAGTGCTGCACACACAAAAAACTCACACAGAGACAACATCTCATATTACACAGTTATTAAATTTCATCATTGTATAGGAAACATACTTCTCAGGCAACATTAGAAATTTAGGGTTTTCATTTGTGAAACAAATGAGCCAGTGGCAATACAGCTTCTCCTACAGCATTCTTCCAGTGTGGCTCAGTCCTTTTCCACAGGGACCACTCTGACACATCATATGGTGATTGGGTCTTATGTGCTCCTTGGTCACAGCTGAGACTTCCTATCCCAAATGCTGAATAGCAGCAGATCTGATGGGAGCACCAGAATGAAACTCTCATAAATACACTCTTTAGGGTAGAAATAGCCATCAGATGACTTGCATTCAAAACCTTTTAAAAAATGGATATGCTATATTCAGTTTAAGCTGAAAAAATAAAATATAAAAAACCTTATACTGCTAGATGCACCTTATGGGTGTCATGTACAATAACAAAACAACACCAACAAAAACCACAAAAAAAAAAAAAAAAAAAAAAAAAAAAACCCAGCCACTCAAAATGCTGAGCAATGAGCTCTTCCAGTTCTTTCAGGAGCTTCAGGGTCCTCAGCACTTCTGAATATCAGGTAACAGATGCACATAGGAATTTAACATCAGGGTGCTATCATGGAATATATTGGCCTAGATGTATAATTTATTGTCCCATGTATTTTTAAACACAGCGTGCAAAATTATTTCAGGGAATATTAAAAATATGGAAATTGGATCTTTTTTTTCCCAATGTATTTTTGATGAAGCAGCAGTGGCTGAAGGGGGGATCCCTGTGGGGAGTTGGGTAGTTTCCTCCCATTCCCTGTGTTACAAAAGGTGAATTGATACCTTTTGTGTCTGCAGCCCACCCCAGGCAGAGTAGCACTCGCTCCCGTGTGGAACATTTTACAGCCATCTGCTGGAGAAACGACATCGCTACCATGCGAGAGAATTCAGTGCTAACAATGGCTATGGCATTGTCAGCAACTCTGAGGACCAGCTGTTTGCTCAAAACCACAGCTGGAGCAGATGGAAATGAATTCATATGTATTAAGTCACCTCAGCCTCACTCCACGGCAAAGCTAAATTTGAACACGGCATGATCTACATTTGAAGGTGCATCTTCCAGTTCTTGAAACCATTTGTGACACAGAAAATAGTCTTCAGGAACCATGTGTGCATGAGCAAACTGAGATTTTTGCCCCTTAGATGTTACTTACACACACAGGGTTTTCTCCAGCTGAAGGATGAAAAGTTAAATAAAGCAGTGTTTAGTAAAAATGACATCATGAACTTTGCAACTTCCAAGCCCTTCCATTTTAGCAGTTACGCTCCCAGTTAAGCATTTGATATCCCCAAAACAAAATAATGATGTTTAATTTTTGAATTGTCCATATTGCACTGTTTAATAAGACTTGTAAGAAATGATGTCCACATTTTTCCCCTTCTTTAAAGTTTTGTGTAAAATTGCATCGCCAATACTGGACTAGGATCCACATGTTACCCAATTTGGTCATGTGATGCCACATAGGATGTAAAATCAGAAATAGTGTCTCTCTCTCCCCAGAGTCTCTTTGGTTTCACTACTACATTACCTAGAGAAGCATCTGTAACCAAGCAGTTACAATGAGGCTAACTAAATACAGTTTACAGATGTCTCGTGGTAACTATCAGATAGTGACAAGTGTTCCTCCTGCCTCGACTACCAGACTGAAATAGTTATGTCTGATTTCCCTGGGTTTGAGAGAGAACCTTAACCAGAATGTGTTTTGAATCAGCATTTGCTACATGCAAACCACATCACACCAACCGTGCCTTCCCAGGATCTAAAACATATTGTCAGAACACCCCAGTTCCCTGGGCACAGAAACCCCTCTCTCCTTGAGAGGATCAAGTGCTGAGAGGCCAAGCAGAGGGCTCAGCAACTCTGGCAAGCCCCAGTCAGAGCTTAAAAAAGGGCTCTCCCCCTGCTGCTGTAGGAACAGAGTGCCTGAAGACAAGGCTACTGGGCTCCCAACTGCTCGAGTTCATTAGCTGACGTCCCTTCCTGGGAATTGAATAATACAGGCAGGGCTTGTGCTGGTGGTCTGCTCCTCATGGGAGGCCGGATTCCAGAAGCGGGGAAGAAGAGCCTTTCTGACATAACACCTTTCATCCCAATCTCTTTAAGCACTTCTACAAGCATTAATTAATTAAATATCCCAGTGCCCCTGTGAGATAAGTGTCATCTCAATTTTCTAAATGGGTAAACTTGGGTATGCAGATTATAAGTGGCTTCCCCAAGTCATTCAGCAAGTCAGGAGAGGTTTGAAAATAGAACCCGGGAGATGTAATTTCAAACCTGCTCCTGTAACTCTTCACAACATTTTCCTTTATTCTTATTTTTACACAGCTGCCACTATAAATTGAGTTATACACATTTTTTTTTTCTGGTCGTTGCTTCCCTGTTGTTTTGATGCCATTTCAATTTTATCAACTGTAGCTTCTCCCTTCAATAAGCATTTTTTAATCTATTCTTGCTAATGTTTGCATTTTTTAAAAGCAAACCTTTAAAACATCTGATCCATGCCCACTGGACAGCCTTGCTGACTGTGTCCTGTGTTAATAACTGACTCCACGCACAGCTGCACAGAGAAG